TGCTGAGCCTCGAAATAATCACACAGAAAGTATACTATTTAAAACACTGCTTGGCCCATTAGCTCTAACTTCTTATTGGCTAACTCTTACATCTTAATTTAACCCATTTCTATTCATCTATGTATTGTCATGTGGCAGTGGCTGACCCGGTAAAGTTTCCAGTGTGTGCCACTGGCGGTGGCTCCATGGCTTCTCTCTAACTCCACCTTTCTTTCTCCCAGTATTCAGTTTAGTTTTTACCACCTAGCTAAATTCTGCTCTGCTATAGGTCCAAAGCAGTTTCTTTATTCATTAATGGTAATCACAGCATACAGAGGGGACTCCCACATCACATGTCATGGCTATAATTCTTTTTTTCTTTTTCTTTCTTTTTTCTTTCCCTCACCTCCCCGATACAGGGTCTCTCTGTATAACAGCCCTGGCTGTTCTGGAGCTTGTTCTGTAGACGGGGCTGGCCTCTAACTCAGAGGTCTGCCTGCATCTGCCTCCTGAGTGCTGGGATTAAAGATGTGCACCACCACTGCTTCACTGTTATGTTTCTGTACAAGGATAGTAGTAGCAAGTTTTCCCTGAGTGAGGCCCATGACCTATCTAGTCTCAGGTTCTTGGCCACTTCATCAGTGTCATGTTCTCTCTCATGGAGTGGACCTTAAATCCACTGGTTGGTTAATTCCATAACGCTTGTACCTCTATTGCACCAGTATATCTTGCAGGCCGGTCACTGCTATCATCACAGGACTGTATCTTGGAGATATGGATGATTACTTCTCTTCTTCAGTAGCATGTAGAAACTTTCCACTACCATGGACACTAAACAGCAAGCATGAAGCTTCTAGTCAGGCACCAGTGTACCCTCTCTGTGTTCTCTGGCATGTGTAAGCATTGTCTTCAGGTTGTGGAGAGTAACCAGTAGACCTGGAAATAGCCAGTGATATTGGGGGGTTTCCATGGACCCCTTTGGGCAATGACTCCACAAGCTGTAACCCATTCCTGGCACTGGAGATTTTACTTGGTGACACAGATCAACGGGGACCTTGATAGATAGAAAAAGGCCCACTGGGTAGGCCGGCTTTCCCCCGCAAAGCAAGTATAGCATCCGAGGAGTCTTTTGACTGGCAGCAGAGCCGCAGGCTCACACAGCACATGGCCTCTGAGAAAGGTTAAGACATGATAGACAGCAGCTTCCCATATCCCGACTGCCCAGATTCCACATTTAGTGTTTGCTATATTTGCTTCACTAGCTGTATCCTCATCTTTCCACCCCAGGAACAAGGATTATCTGCTTTCTGGGTATTCTAATCCCCCCCCCCCCCCCCCCCCCCCCCCCCCCCCCCCCCTCCCCCCCCCCCCCCCCCCCCCCCCGCTACTTCTACAGTGCTGTTTTTAACCTTTCTTTTGGCTCTGTTCCTTGCTAACTGTTTTGGCATCCCCGATGTTATAGCCTTCTTGAGACTGGATCTGTGCCTCTGGGTTTAGAGCATCTTCACACTTGTCAGAGCAGGCAGTCAGTGAAGACCGGGTGGTTACATTTTGTCTTCGTTTCATCTATACTTTCATAATTAACATTGCTTCATATTTCTTTGTGGGTAAATTTTCAGGTACCTCAAACCCCAACGGATTAAAATACGAATTTGCCTTTCCAGTAATACATGAATTACATTTTAGAGTGATTTTAAATCCCTTTTTATATAGTCCCATAACCAACCAGCTGCTCTGAAGTACAGTTTTCTTTGAAATATCAGTCACTACCTAATTAAGATCATTGCTATGCTTACAGAAACCCACCAACCTATTACAAGTGAGCACTAATCTCCTTGTCTACGCTATTTTAAAGAAATTGCCTCTTTGCCACTAAATTCTCTTTTCTCTGTAATCCCGTGTACTGCAACCTGGGTAATCCTTCTAAACCTTTAAATTTTGTTAATTTAGTTTATATGTGTACACGCACAAATCCACGCAGGCACATGTGGAGGCTAGAAGGGACATCCAGAGAGGGCAACATCAGGACGCTATCCTCAACTGTCTCTCTACCTTGTTTCTAAGACGGTGCCTGTCACTGAACCTGTGGCTCACTTTAGGGTTATCAGGGAGAGCAGCAGTCCCACAGATCTGTGTCCCCGCCCCGCTAGGGCTGAGGTTGTAAATGCTGGGACTGCTGGCTTCTATATGGGTGCTGGGGATCTGCATGCAGGTCCTCACACGGTCACAGCAAGACTTTACCCAGAGCCAGCTCCCGAAACCATCTCTACTCATGACATTTTCCTTTCAAAGCCTTCAGTGGCATCTTGTTACCGGTTAGTCCAAAGCTTGAAATTCCTTCTCCATCCCTAGGACAGAGGGAAGGTCTTTTCATTCTCCAAAGGTTGGCCAGATTGTCATGACTTAAGTTTTTTTTTTTTTTTTTTTTACTATAGTGTGTGTGTGTGTGTGTGTGCTATAGCACACTTGTGGAGGTCAGAGGACAACTTTTCCAAGTTGGTTCTCTCCTTCAACCTTAGTGTGGGTCCCGGGATCAAACTCAGCCTTTACCAGCTGAGCAATCTCGCTAGCCTGTGCAGAGAACTTAGACAAAAATGAGGATACTAACAGAGACTTACATAGATTTAATCTACATGGGAAGTAGAGAAAGACAAGATCTCCTGAGTAAATTGGGAGCATGGGGACCTTGAGGGGAGGGTTGAAAGGGGGAGAAGAGAGGCAGGGAAGGGAGCAGAGAAAAATGTAGAGCTCAATAAAAATCAATGAAAAAACAAAGAGAGAGAGAGAGAGAGAGAGAGAGAGAGAGAGAGAGAGAGAGAGAGAGAGAGAGAGAGAGAGAGAGAAGAGATGCACCATGGGGGAGGGAGGGGCTCCTGACAGTAACAGAAGTTCAGGATGGGCCTGGGCCTTCTCAACCTGCCCTCCTTAACTGTTGGGTCACGTAGATCACCCAGAATGATCTCCTGTTCTATGACTAGCAAGCACAACCTGTGTGGGGAGGCAAAAAGCTTTAGCTACACATTCGGAGCATCTAGGCTATGGACGTCTCCGGTCGTCCAGCCAGAGTGTGCTCCTCAGTTCCCGGAAGCAGTGATGGTTTTTCAGTGGTGTCCCCTCTGTGGATTTTCTCACTTATGACAATCTTGACCTGTATTTAAACCCAAGTGCCCGCCACCTTTCTTTCCTTGAATCGTCATCTCATTATGTAACCCTGGTTTGCCTGGGACTCTGCTGACCAGGTCAACCGTGAACTCAGAGACATCTGCATGCCTCTCCCTCCTGTGTGCTGAGACTAAAGGCACCATGACCTGCTCTAGGAGTAACATGGGAAGTAGAAAAGGTTCATCCTTGTGTTACCAGGGCTCCAGGGGGCAGACTGACTTCCTCTAGTCAGCTTGTCACCTCCTTTTTTCTGTCTCCTTCTGCAGTTTAGGTTTGTTTCGGTTTTTTTTTTTTTTTTTTTTTTTTTTTNTTTTGGTTTTGTTTTGTTTTTACTGTTTGGGGGCCCACCACCCAGCTCCCAAATAAATATATGGGGACTTACTTATTCTTACTTATGAATACCCTACCTTAGCTTGTTTCTAGCCAGCTTTCGAACTTAAATTATTCCATTTCTCTTTAAGTACGTTTTGCCTCTGGGCGATTTACTTTATATCTTTCTTTCCTTCTTACTCCTTGGCTGACTGTGTGGTTTGGTGGCTGGACTCCAGGTCCTCCTCTCCTTCTCCTTTTCTCACTTCTTGTTCTCTTTTCTCGAGTCTAGATTTCTCCTATTTATGCTCCCTGCCTGGCAGTTCTGCTTATCCCTCTCCTGCTACTGGCCTTCAGCTCTTTAATAGATCATTCAGGTGTTTTAGACAGGAGCAGTAACACAGCTTTACAGTTAAACAAATGCAACATAAAAAAACCAAGACATCTTTGCATCATTAAATAAACATTCCACAGCATAAATGAATATAACACATCTTAAACTAATACTCCACAACATGGGCCCCCTTTCCCTCACCAAATCCTAGTCCACTCAGGCCCTTTGAAGTCTAGCGTCATTCAGCAAATCCCTCTTCTGCCATGACCAGTGTCCTGCACTAACACCCACCTGAAGACCTTGGCCATTGGTGTCTATACTGCTTTCAAGAACCCAGTCGGGACCCTCTCCTGGGGGCTCAGCCTCTCACATAGCCCTCAGATGCCTAGTGCTCTCCTGAGACCCCTGCCCACCCTTCTAAAACCTGAGACACACATGCTCTGGCTATTTATTGTACTTACCAGCTTTTAATGTCACCTCCAAGGACTGCTTGGAATTCCAGCTCACTGGCATTCAGGTAGGATAGAGAAGGGTTTGCTGCTTCCTGGTCCCCTCTGACACGCATAGCAGGGACCACAGCAGGGACCACAGCAGGCTCTACAGAGCTCAGAAGAAGCTTTTGGGACTTAGCATTCCTCTTTCATGCTAGTGTTACTGAGACTTGTCATGCAAGTGTCAGGGGTGGGGACCCACATTACGACTCTCCAGAAGGAAGCCAGTATTCTCTCCACCTTCTAATTGTGTGGCTAGGTTATATCTGGAGATCTGCAGGCTCCTGTATCCTTGGACTCTGACGCCCTCAATGTGTCTTGCCCTGGCTTGCTGCTCACCTGGCATAGGGACATTCTTCCTTGGGGAATCCCTTCTCTTCCTGAGCCTTGTGAAACTAATTTATTCATAGTTAATAACTTTAAAAAAACAACAGTTAAAAGTAGGACCATGTGGTTGTGGTGATGCATGCCTTTATTAATCACTTGAGAGACAGGGAGAGGAGTAACTCTGTGAGTTCATGGGCAGCTTGGTCTACATAGTGGGTTTGAGGACAGCCAGGGCTACACAGTGAGACCCTGTCTAAAACAAAAAGGCTGCTATTTATCTCAAAATTTACTGTTTGAGTCACATACCACACAACTGCTTTATTCTGAGATGGGTTCGGGGGGATTGCTAACAAAGCTTGGTGCATCAGAATTCATATTTGTAAACACAATTCATGCACTCTTGTTTCATAGTTTATTTTTAGAAAGATTCAGATATGTTTCCTTACATGGTACTTAACTTCTGTATTTTAAGGATATTTGCTTTTTGAACATTGTTTTATAGACAAAACTTTTTTGTTTAGTTTTTATTGAGCTATACATTTTTCTCCACTCCCCTCCCTTCCTCCCTGTCCCGTCCTACCCTCTCCCGTGACCTCTCACACTTTCAATTTACTCAGGAGAGCTTATATAGACAAAACTTTTATACAAATACAGCTGCACTATAGTAGAAAGACACTACAGAGTGAACCCTGAGACAACACACGAGTCCTTTGCCCTCCGTATAGCATTCCTCTGGTGTCTTCCATTATAGCAAAACAAGGTGCAGCTATATTTAACTTGCTTCCTGTAGCTCCAACCTTTATAACTAAGAAATCCACTGTGCATTAACAATATAACTGAACCAACATCAAGAGTGTTCTGGCCACTGGCACACCGCCACCGCTGCCTCTGACAGAGCTCACTGAGAACTCCCAAGCGTGGTAACAGACGCAGCAGTGTGGCAAAGCTGTAGGAGATAAAATATTTAGACTGTATGCTGTCTGCCCACGCTATTCTGCCTCTCCGTGTTAATATACTCTTACAGTCCAGAAATAAAAAGTACTCAATCTCATAGTACATCATAGGTTTCAAAATGGTACAAGTCTAATACGAAGGGTGATGGCAACAGAAATTCCCATGGGGCTGAAAGAGACTGCCTGAGGCCACAGAGCAAACGGAGATGGATTTAGAGTGGGAAAGATGGTAATGAGGTAAGTGTGCGACCTGGAAAATGGTGCTAGACCCGTGCTAAAGATGCTCTGAGGGCAGTTGGGTGGGGGGGAGTTTTGAAAGGTGAGCTGGAGCCATTACAGAAGAGCAGGCCAGGTGGGGTAGGCCAAGGGCTGCCAGGCCTGTCTAATGGACATGTCATGATGGGACCCACATGATGGAAGGAAAGGACCAACTCCTGCAAGATGTCCTTTGACATCCACATTGGCTTTGTGGCATACATCCCCCCTCCGCCAACTATAAATAATGACAAAAGAACAGAACAAAACCCCTTGACTCCAGCCTTAGAAGTCTGGACTTGGTTCTGAGTGATGGGTGTGGGATTCTGGTGAGTGCAAAAGTCATCTGGCAGGAAGATTGGTGACTCTAAGACTGTGATTTAGATCTGCATTCAACAGATTCCCTTGGTGAGTCTGGGACAGGTGAGATATTATCTTCTACAAAAACTTAAGAATCCTTACTGTTGCAAGACTGGTGGTTTGAATGAGAATGCCCACCACAGGCCCATATGTTTTTTTTTTTTTTTCAAGACAGGGTTTCTCTGTGGCTTTGGAGCCTGTCCTGGAACTAGCTCTGTAGACCAGGCTGGTCTCGAACTCACAGAGATCCGCCAGCCTCTGCCTCCCGAGTGCTGGGATTAAAGGTGTGCGCCACCATAGCCCGGCAGGCCCATATGTTTGAATGCTTGAACCCATTGGTGGAATTGGTTGGGAAGGATTAGGAGGTGTGGCTTTGTTGGAGATGTGTCGCTGACAGTGGCTTTGAGGTTTCCAAAGCTTATACCATTCCCTCTCTCTCTCTCTCTCTGCCTCATGGTTACTATCTCAATATGTAAGCTCTCAGCTATTGCTCCAGCATTACGTTTGCCTGTTTGCTGCCATCCCATTGCAATACCATGATAGTTATGGAATAATCCTTTGAAACTGTAAGGAAGCCCCCAATAAACTATTCTGTAAGCTCCCTTGGTCATGGTGTCTCTTCACAGCAATAGGAAAGTAATGAAGACAGATTTAAATTGTTCTATAAGCTCTGAAAACTTTTTTTTTTTTTCGAGACAGGGTTTCTCATTATAGCCTTGACTGTCCTAGAACTTGCTCTGTAGACCAGGCTGGCCTTGAACTTATAGAGATCTACCTGCCTTTGCCTGCTGAATGCTGGGATTAAAGGTGCACCACCACTACCCATTCTGAAAACTCTTAACTTTTAGGTTCACAGATCTCTTCTCTGACCTTACTTAATTTTTCTTCAGAATTTTTCTTTAGTAATTCCAATTGTTTTTCATATTTTGTTTATTGGCTGATTTTGTGTCTGGGTGCACAAGTGTCGCAATGTACCTGTGGAGGTCAGAGGAAAATTTGGAGTTGGTGCTTAACTTCTGCCACGTGAGTCCCAAGAATTGAACTCAGATCACTAAGCTTGACAGCGGGTACCTTTAGCCCTGAGCCATCCTGCTGGCCTCCTGTTTATGTACTGAAGAGCACCTTTGCTCAACGATGCTTCTTGTCTTTCTACTTCTCTGCTATATTTAAGAGTTTTTGGCCTCTTGGACTTTGCTCTTTCTTTGCAAGTTATTACCCAAGGTTCTGCCTTATGAATAGTGTCTGTGTTAATGATCAGTTGGCTCCACACTGACAGAATAAAAGTTACCAACAGCAATATCAAGCACTACAGCATTCTCCACCACTTGTCTTGGAGAATAGCAACCACACTGTTATCATAAGAGAACGTCATATTAATTTTTACTCTTGGTGATCAGAACTCACTAGTTGATTGACTATGTCAGGAACCTTAACTCCAACCTCAATGTGTAGACTTTGTCCTGCACATAAAGAGTTACAACAGCTTCTAAGCCGTGCAGTACCATAGATAAACATGTTCTAGAAACAGTGCCTTGAAGACAGCTTGCAAGAAGATATATGAGCTATAGGTTGTGGGGCTGCAGAGATGGCTCTGTGGTTATGAGCAGTGGATACTCTTCTAAAGGACTTGGGTTCAGTCCTCAGCAACCACATGGTGGCTAACAGTCAGGTAATAATTGTCTGTAACTCTAATTCTCAAGGATCTGATGCTGTTTTATGGGCTGTATAGGCACTACATGCATGCCTCTGCCCTTCTTTTTCTAATTTGAAGTAAGGATAAAGGCACGTTTCAATTTGCTTTATTTATTTATTAAATGACGTGTGTGCATGTGTGCACATGCTTGAATGCAGGGCAGAGTCCTGGAGCCGGAGTTACAGGATGCTGAGAACGGCCCGACTTGGGTGCTGGGAGCTGAACCCTGGTCTTAACCACTAAGCCACCTGCTCAGCTCCCTCATTTTACTTTACACGAATGTGTTCCAGACATTAAAACCACATCTGTTGCATCTTACATGTATTTTCCACAAGTGGTTCCAGGATTCTAAACGGAAAGATTAAAAACATTTAGGGGTCTTGGGGAGATAGCTCAGAGGCTAAGAGCATGCATTGCTTAACTCAGCACCCACATCAGGCACAGTCACCTGCATCTCCAGTTCCAGGGGAGCCTCTATTCTCCAAGGGCCCCTGCACTCATGTGGACATACCAACGGACAAACACATGCACACACATGAGCACGTGTGTGCGCGCACACACATACACACAAAAGAAAAAAATAAATCTTTGAAAAATATTTAGGAAGTATATTATTTGAAACATTCTATAATCTTAGAAAAACCGAGGGATGAGGCATGTATGTTAGGGGCAATTTTGTTCGCGCCTAATTTAGTAACTAAACCAATGAACCAGCAACAAGTCTCAGTGTAAGTCAGAGGAAGGAGATGACTCTTCCATGGTGGATGACCTGGGGAAAAAAGCATCTTTCTTTCTATAGTGCTACCTTCATTATAGATATGAAAATAAAATGTGTATACTGATGGGTTTTTGAGCCCCTTGGACAAAAAAGCTACGAAAAGCAAAGGTGAAGTAATTTCCAAATCTATAATTTTTCTGCCTACCCCATCTGTCATCGTTTCTAATTATCAACCTTCCATGAACTTGACTACCTCTCTCCACAGGTACCTCAGGCGGCTTTGTGAGGAGAATTCTTGAACTCCATGTAGGGTTGTGAGTCAGCATTTTACAGAGGCATAAAACCAAGATGATTTAAAGTAAGCAATGTAATCTTTTTGAAAGACATGCGCATGTCCTTGAGGAGATTTAAGGAAAACTGGGGTTTCTAAGCTTATAAATAGTTTATCACATTTCAACAACTGCATTGTGAATCAATAAAGCAGAAGTTAAGAATAATGAGCTCAAGTTATTGATTCTCAAGTTTCAAAATAGAACAGTACAGGAAAGCTATAAAAAAGGAATTTCGGGCATGTGTGCAAGAGGAATTTAAAATGTCAGGAGAGGCCAAGGGACACCTAAGACACTGGGAGAGTCTAGCGACGTCCTCAGGTGTCTAAGTCTGCTAATTAGAAATATTTAATTTTCAATTTAAAAATACCTTGGAGTTTTTAATATTTATCTTTACTTTTTATTTATGTGTATGCCTGTGCACCTGGGAGCCGTCCAATCCCCCAGAGCTGCAGGTGCAGACTGCTAGGACCCATCGTGCTGGGCACTGAGTCCAGGGCCCCTGGGAGAGCGGCAGAACCTCTTCACTACCGAGCCATTGCTATGCCACAGTTTCCAATCTTAAAAACATATTTTAAAGTCAAGGCAGAGGGGTTTGTAAAAACCAGTGCTGCCTTTTATAAACGACTCATTTATTTTCCCAGTTTCTTTATTTTTTTGAGGCAGGCTGTCCTTGACTGGCTAGGTAGACCAGGATGGCCTCCAAGTGACGAAATCTGCTGTCTCTGCCTCTGAGCGTTGGGATGGGATTAAAGGAATGTGTCACTATGTCCAGCTCGGATGCAGGATTTTCTTGCCTAAACATGTTGCAGATCTGTGCCTTCAAGAGGAAGGGGACCAAACCTAAGTCCAGTCCTGTCCTTTTATACCAGGAGGCAGTTGTGGAGAGAGTCTTTCAAAACTCGATTAGGTGCGTGTATGGTCCATTGGTGTCCAGCTTTAACACTTGCCTGTTGCCGTAAGTGCCGTGCGCCACTACAACCCCCGCTTCGGCACACTTGCTGTTGGCGGCCAGCGCTTTCTCACACAGACTCACGAACTGGGAGTACAGTGCCAGGCCTTCCTCCTTCCCGGAGTTAGCGTGATACTGCATGCTTTTTCCTTTCACCCTGCCCCCGAGGGTGGCTTGAGGGATGATGAGGACGTCGCCGGGCAGGTCCAGGATGGAGACGTGCTTGCCGTTTTCCGTCTCACTTAATTTCACATTTAGCAGCGTATTAACTGGGCAGGAAAAAAGGTAAAACAGTTTGAAGTGAAAAACAAACATGAAGAAAATCATCAATGTTTTACTTGTTACCAAGTTTCATATTTAAAACCTGGTTTTAAAACCTAGTCTCTGGGGCTGGAGAGAGGTGGCTCAGCGGTTAAGAGCATTGCCTGCTCTTCCAAAGGTCCTGAGTTCAATTCCTAGCAAGCACATGGTGGCTCACAACCATCTGTAATGAGATCTGGTGCCCTCTTCTGGCCTTTGGGCATACAAGCAGACAGAATATTGTATACATAATAAATAATAATAATAAAAAAAAACAACCCCTAGTCTCTGTAGGTTTAAAAGGATTTCACTAAATGGCACAGCCCTAGAGTGCGCATGTGCGCACATGCGCATATACACACACCCCAGAAAATTCTGAATTTCATACAGAAAATACCAAGGTGCTTCAAATCTGACCCAACGATCAGGCTCTCCCACACAGTTCACCCAGGAAGGTCTACATTCAAAGAATTAACTGTACACTAGAACCCTGAGTATTGCTGTCACTGGGGAACATGTGAATGTTTGTTTCTCTGATCCTTTTATTTCATAAGCAAATACCAACTGGTTCAATTCCACTATAAACCAGATGATTTTGTAATTTCACAATTTAAGGCAATATTAACATGGCCTAACATTTTATAAACAAGGCCTATTAGGGAAATGCAAATTCATTATTACAAAAGAAAAGTAAACAAAAGATACAGAGCCACTGGCAGCATAAATGTATATGTGTATACAAGGGAGGCTGGAGGGAAGACTCGGTTGTTAAAAGCTCTGACTACCCTCCCAGAGGGCTGAGATTTGGTTCCCAGCATCCACATGGCAGCTAACAACAGTCCCTGACTCCAGTAGCCAATGCACTATTGTGGCCTCAGCAGGCAACACACTCACACACTCACGTGGAACACAGGCATATGTGCAGGCTATTATACAGAAAAGCCAAAAAAAAAAAAAAAAAAAAAAAAGAAGAAGAAGAAGGAAAAAAGAAAAAAGAACAGGTAGTAAAGTAATTCTGTAAGCCTCACACTCCTGTCCTCTGAAAGGCATACTTTCACCATCAGGCACGGTAGGGCAAGCCTTTCACCTCAGGCAGACTGATCTCTGAGTTCCAGCCCAGCCTGGGATTCAGAGACTTATTTAAGGCACGTTTTCTGGTCTGGTTGATTTCACCACTATACACCACTACACACCACACACTACACACAGCAAGGACTTGGTTATGATCCTACTCTACTACTCACAGTAAAACCAGCCAATTCCTAACCTCTGCTGCAAGTCCCGTCACTTCTCAATTAGCTAACATCTCTCTTTAAACACCTTTGTAGTCTTTGTGCGGAAGGTCTCTACTCACAGCCAGCGGCCCTGCTGACTACATCTCGGGAGGACAGGAACTCCCAGAGCACGTCACTGCAAACAGCATTACTACTTAGCTACCCAGGCCTCAGGCTTTGGCAGAGTGAGTTAACAAGTCTGGGTTAACAGCAATGAGCAGCCATACCATTTTTATTATACTTTCACACACCTCCCTCTACTGGCTGTGACTGAGAACTCACATGTCTGCACGTAAAAATAAATACAGCACAAAGACAAACAGAAACGAGATGATATTAATAGCATGTTAGAAACTTAAAGGATGTAAGATGGGTTATTAGATTCCCCAGTGACACAGAAAGGAAACCAAGCGTTGACAGACCCCCAACCTACTTTTATACTGAAGATGAACTGAGGAAGAGTCTCTACACTTCTATGTTAGCTACGGTACTTCAGACTTCATAGACATAACTGGTTATGTCCATGAAGGTCTGATCCATGAGTAAGTATGAAGTGGGCTTTAAGAGAACCTCATCACACCAGTTCACTCATGGACTAGAGAGACGTACAAACTAATCTCTCAATATATGTTGGTTTGTTAAACTATTTGCTAAAAGACTTAGGGAAGGTGTTCTCTTTGTTTTCAATAGTCTTAAACACGTGTTTAGAGGGAACTCATAAAGACAAAGGTAGAAACATATAGGTTTAGTCACTATAAAAAAAATGCAGCTTGGGTTTGGTGGGCTTACTTTACCCCATTATGATTAAGACATCATAAGACAACTTTGCAAAGTCAATCGTTTTTGTTTGTTTTGTTTCTTCAAGACAGGATTTCTCTATGTAACAGTCCTGGAACTCCCTCTGTAGACCACGCTGGCCTCAAACCCAGAAATCCACCTGCCTCTGTCTCCTCAGTGCTGGGATTAAAGGCACGTGTTACCACTGCCTGGATACAAATGACCAGCATCTTATTTTGTATTTGAAGCATCTTACTACAGTCCTTTGGCCAACAAAGATGACCAAGGTAAAATACTAATTTAGGCAAATGAGCAGAATGTCCGACACCTCCACGTTAGGACCTGAGAAAGACCTCTAGCACAGGAGCTGCATCTCCTTTTCTTAAGCCTTCGAAGGCTCCTTATCCCCCAGGTTCAGACTCCAGACTCTGAGTTACTCGCTTTCCATCCACACCTGTTTTCATGCCTTGACAAAGTTGTCAAGCAAGTCTGATTACCAGTGTAAAGTTTGCTTTGACTTTTTGACTAAGGTGTTGTCAATGGGCTATCTGCCTGCGAGTTCCATTTTCATTACTCTGATCTTGTCTAGATTAACTTCTGTAAGCTTTAACTATCTGTTTGTATTGTTTTTTCTTTGGTGACATGGCCAGCTCTCTTGTTCAGGCTGTCCTCCAAGCCCAGGATCAAGGGATCCTCCTGTCTCAGCCCTCTGTAGCTAGAGTGATAGGCACATGCTTCTGACTATTTACTACTCTGACTAACATGTGCCGTATTTTACCAATGAGGAGCACATAAACTACCCCTCAATCTTAGGAATAGTTCCATTATCTCAGGTTTATTTCTGAGCATAATCTTTGAACCAAATACTGCCTTGTAACAACACGTGACATGATTCAGTCCATCTGAACCCGTGGAGTTATCTATCACAAGGAATGTGCAGGGTGTGGACCGTACAGGATCCTGGAAAGCTGCAGCAGCTAAGTCAATGCTTTGTGATTCCCTGAGCATTTACTCTGTTTTCTCTACCCTCAGAGGAAGTGTGGCTGTGATGACACTAAGTTTGGTTCAAGAACCAGGAGAACTGTATTTATATATTAACACAATAACCTACATAAATGGTTGCCACAAATTCTCCTATATCAATGACATAAGGTTGAGTTGTCTGGATTTGACTGGATACACATGTTGTACATACACTGGCATCTACTGCCCCATTAGGGATGCTCTTATCTGACGGGGAGAGGGACGGGACCATGGGGGATAAGGGGGACAAGAAAGGGTAATGGGAGTAAATAAGGTCAAAATACATGATATACATCTACAGAACCTGTCATTCTGTAAGATAAGTATTAACACTCACACACACACACACACACACAGTTGTGGGGTGTGGTAAAGAAAGCAGCACAGCATTTGTTTGAACTCTGTGGCTATCCTGCTCTCAGAACCTTCCGTGCTCTGGGCAGAAGCGTGTTCTGCATACGGGGTTATGTGTCTCTTCCAAATCAGTCTACAACCACCCGCAACGCTGTGATATTTTCAGAGTTCCACCATGTGCACATGTACATTCTTTAAATTTTACAATAATATAATTAATACACCAGCACAATTCAGGATCGTGCTTCTTAGGGCTGCAGAGATGGCTCAGTAGTTACGAGCATCTGCTGCTCTTCCAGGGAACCCGGGTTCCAGTCCCAGCAGCCACACGCAGCTCACAACCCCTGTTATGCGGGTTCCAGGGGGTCTGATGCCCGCTTCTGGCCTCTGAGGGCATCGTGCACGTATGTGGTAGACATACATGCAGGAAAAACACCAACACATATTTAAAAAAGAAGAGAAAGAACCATCCACCCACCCACCCCCTGCTCCTGGAGCTGGGCCTGCAATTACCCCAGAGGCGTGGCAGAAAGACTGCACACTCAATGCCCTCCTGAGACAGAAGGAACTGAAGGTCAGCTGGGTAAATTGTCAAGACCTCGACTTAAGACTTTTAAGAAAAAAAAAACTAGTTTACAAAGAATTAGGTCTCATTATGGCATTTTTTTTTTAATTCAAAATGTTCTTGCTTGGATGTTAATTGCTAAAAAGACCTTAGGACATCGTGCAGTGGTGGAACAGGTTCCACTTTCTTAACTCGCTCTAGGCCCTGGCTGCAATCCCTAGCACTACCGCAAAACAAAACAAAAAAGTCAAAATAAAGTAAGTTATACTTCTCAGCTGCGGTTATAGGTGAGCGGCAGAGCACTTGCTCAGAGGGTACTCATCCGAGGCTCACCCCAAGCCCCTCAAACCAAAACAAAGTCCCACCAAAGCCAGCACAGTGGTGTTCACATTCTGCTCATATGCTCACTGACGGCCTCATCTTTGCACCTTTATTCATCTTACATCATAAAGCGTATGAACCCGACACCCCACAGCCCCTCACCGGGAGAAGAGAGAAAACACATACCCATCTTGGGAAGAAGCTCTTTGTCCGCCCCCTTGAAGAAGCACACATAGATCACTAGGCCTCTCTGGATCTGTGAGAAATCACCACAGGAATCTGCATTAGGAAGGCGTCTATACAGGATTGGTGCAAGGGGGGACATTTCACAGCATTTCCAAGCGTGGGGTTAAAAGTCAAGGGAGAAAAATAAAAATCATTTTGAATTCTAAGTAAATTATGGGACACCAAACTCTGCCTTGAGTTTTAATCACCATGATTATTTATTTCGGCAGAGCTTTCAGCCAGCAGCCTCCCACACCAGGCGAGGCTAGCAGGAACAGTCTGCTTGCAGGCTGACCTATCCAACGCCAAGTGCGTTTCCCTTGTACCACACTGGGCTGGTGACTAGGGGCAGGCTCACGGATGTCTTTTGATGCTCCTCTTTATTTTCCCCTAAGTTGTTTATTTAAAAGAGAGCAGTATTTCCGATTTCTACAAACTGCAGGAGACTGCTTTTTCTGTTACTGTGGCTAACGCCTTAAGTAAACCCAATGATTAGGCCTTGAAAATTACATTTATGCCAATAATTTTATATGAAAAGGTTGGTTGTTACCAGGAATATACACTTATTCATTGTATGTAGTGACTTGGGTATTTTTTACTAGTTTCTGTAAGACAGATTACAAGAAAATAAAAGCGGTGCTAAATGACTTTGACGCTACTGTTGAAGAAATCGCTGGGGCTGTGATTCCACGTTAATCTGCGTGACTCCAGGCACCTCACTTGATTCAGGAGCAGCCACAATGATTAAAGGAGCTAATAATTGCACACTACTTACACAGTGCTGAGTTCACAGTAAGTCTGACACAGGTGTTTATCAAACGCTACATAAAAATAAATTTAAAGGCAGAGGCACAGTTTACTTCACATTTTAGCTGCCAAAGCATTTTGCATCCTTCGTACACGACTGGGACTCAATTTAAGAGCTGGTGGCATTAACATTTAACTATATATTTCTGGCTCTGTTGACCTAAATGGTTTTCTGTGTAAGTACAGCTCTGCATTCATACTTGAATTACCTGGAAAAATATTTTACTTTAATTACGTGTGTGCACATGTATGTGTGTCTGCGTACAGTGTCGGATGCCTGTGAAGCCTAGAGGGGGCCATCAGATCCCAGGGGGCTGGAGTTGCAGGTCGTTGTGAGCCAGCATGTGTGCTGAGAACTGAACTCTGGTCCTGCTCAAGAGCAGCCATTTCCACAACCCAGCAGGCATATTTAAAAAAGGGCAATTGTACTTCTGGAGCAATAGGCGAGAACCTCCAATCCCATCTATGGCTATGGGACTGGCAAGGGTGTCACAGGTATCTGTACCATCAGAAGTCTCTCCACTAACAGAATCTTGAGCCCAAGTCTTCCACACAGTCACATCTGGTACCGGGATGCAGGAATCAAGTACCTAGTTATGACCAGAAACACCCACTTCCTAATCACAGTGTTACTACCTCCGAGTGTTATTCTCTTTGAATTTCAATACTAGATCTTAACTTGCGACCTAAAAATCCCTCTCTTCAAGTAAAAAAAAAAAAAATGATTTCGCCTGAAGTTTCATTGGTATACATTACAATACATTGGAAAGTAGGTAATTCCCACTGTGGCTTTAAAACGTTCAATTCCCAGGGAGGAAAACATCCCTCTGGGACAGCCAAGTCTACATGAATAAAACTAAGGCAAGGTAACTCTTCAAACAAAATGCTATTAAAAAAAAAATCAACTTTGCTAATAGACCAGAGTATAGGAAGACTAACTACTGCTCAGCTCTCTGATGTGTGGGAGGGAAGGAAAGGCCTTTGAAACACCTTTTAAATTCTATAAACACAAAAGGACAGTTTGGAAGGCTGCAGTAAAATGCAATTCTGCATCAGGCAATGTGGGGGAAAACAAAAATGACAAAGGATGGACTCTAAATGATTGAGTTTGGAATTTATCACACCAAACGGCAACAATTAAAACAGGTATTTTTTTTAGATATAAATAAATTTTCAAAACCCCAAGGAAAAGCCCTAACACAAATACGGAAGAAAAAGAATTTGAGAAATGGGAGATGGCGAAGATACTGGAAGATTGAGCGATTTATTATTTATTTACTTAAAGGAGGCTTTTCTCCGCGTAGTCCTGGCTGGCCTGAAACTCGGTTCGTAGACCTGGATGGCTTTGAACTACCTCTGCCTCTTGAGTGCGGGGATTAAAGGCAATGCTGCCACCACACTCGGTGACATTAGAGTTTTGAATGCTTGGTTTAAGGTCACCCACATACACTTGGTTTAAGTTCACGATGACAGATCTATGTTAAAGAATGCTCGATATGAAGCCTAATTTAGTGGAGGTGAATGAGATTCTCTAAAAATTCTGAGTACAGTTCGGCGGGGCGGCTTACGCTGTTACCCCAACACTTAAGACAGATGGAAGGCAGAAGGAGCATCCTCAGGCGGAGAGGGCTAGAGAGCCACCAGGAGCCACTCCAAAGTGACATCGAGGCCGCCCACTAGGCTGAGCAGACGGAAAGGGACACTCTTCTTCCCAGGAGAGAAGAGAGAAAGACCAGCACCACGGTGAGAGGAGGAACGGGCATTACCTCCACCCACTGCGCCGCGGCGTCCCCGTCAGCCGGGCGCACTTGTAGATGAGCGTGCAGGCACTGCTGCAGGAGCGCGCGGGCCTGCACCGTATTGCTGCCGTCCGCCATGGCTCGGCTCCGCACTGCGCATGCACAGCGCAGGCTCTGCCCGTCACCCGTGGCTCCGCCCTAGAAGGGCGGGGCCTCTGCCGGGCTCTGCTGTGTCCTGGCTGTGCAGTTAAACCACAGCGGGTCCCTAACCGGAAGTCCCCCATAAGCGAAAGGGTTTGTGTTTAGAGAGACTTTTTTTTTGTTGTTTCTTAATCGCTTCCTAGGACATCTTGATTTTGGTTTGTTTTTGGAGGTAGAGTCTCCTGGAGCCGAGGTTGGTGATGGTAGCCCGTAGTCGAGGCTGACCTTGAACTCCTGACTCCTCGGAATTGCTGGGATTACAGGTGTGCACCCCTCCCCCACTCCCTTCGCCTCTGCTTCAAATGTTTGGAAGAAACATTTTTCACTTGAGAAAGTTTAGGTTTCTAGGTGTTGAAAAGATGTATGTCAGAGTTAAGTCCATTCAGTGCTCATTGTAAGGACAACGAGTGAAATCAGAGACAGATTTAAAGCTGTGGGTGGAACAGCCCTTCACAGTGGTCACCTAAGACTACTGGAAAACAGATATTTACATTATGGTTTCTAACAGTAACAACATTACAGTTAGGAAGTAGCAACGAAAATAATTTTAGGGTTGGGGTCTCTACAACTGTGTTAAAGGGTCGCATCATTAGGAAAGTTGAAAATCAGTTAACTAGAGCTAGAAATCTCTCAAAAATATGCCTTGCCCATTCAATAAAGCAGTGCTGTTTCCTGTATCAGAAATGCTTCAAAACATTCTGATTCCGTAGTTGCAGAAGGGTGTTAATAAGCTATGTGAATGCACTTTTGGAGACCAATTCTTTATTATTTATTAAATTTTCATTTATTTTCATACACTTTAATTAAAATATAATCACATCACTTTCCTCCCTCAATCCCTCCCGAGTCTGTTCCCTCCATCTCTTTCCGTTTCCTCCCACTTACACTAGTAACCTCTTTTTTCCAGTGGTTGTAGTCACAGATATATGTTTGCACAAACACATGAATACTGCCCGCTGAGTCTGTTCTGGTCTTGTGAATACGGTTTCAGAACTGATCCCTTTGTATTGGGTGACCAGTTAGGGGGCTCGTTCCCAGGAGATGTCAATTCTCTCTCTGTGGTCGTTAGCTCCCTGTAGTTCTTTGTCTGGGGGTGGAGTCTGCTAAGATGTCAAGTTGCCTTTGTTCAGGTTTCACTTATGCAGCCATTTCTATAAAAGGGTGTCTCACAGCAGACACCCTGGTATTCTGACTCTTACAATCTTTCTGCTCCCTTTTCTATCTATGATATAGACATGATGTGATGTAGATGTAGCCATTGGGGCTGGGCTTCCCACGATCCTTTGGTGCCTGCACTGTGTCCTGGTGTGGCTTTCTGTGGTGGTTCCCATTTGCTGTAAAGATGAATGTTAATAGTTAGACATACTTGTAGGTATAAGGATAAGGTTTGGAATCATGTTGCTCTGGTGAAGTGGTATGTAGTAGACTCTCTTCTAAGAGACCTATGACCTCAGACTTCACCACCCCTGGAAAGCTGGCTGGGTTCTAAGTACCAGGAATGATTTCCCTCTTGTTGAGTGGATGTGAAGTTCAATTAGACGGTTGTTGATTATGACAGACTTGGGAGTGCCATTTATTGCATCTTTGCGGATATCTTGTCGTTCTGGTCATTGTGGCCACAGGTGTCACTGCTGGGTTCGACTGTTAATTGTCCCCCACCTCCTCTTTGGCAACTTGCATAGCATTTTCTAGTACTATGGAAGTTAGACCATAGGAAGGAGGCTTTCATGTTAGATACGGCTTGAAAAGTCTGAGTCTTGTATCTTAAGTGCAGAGTGTCTTCAGCATTAGGGACTTAGCTTCAGCCTTTGAGAGGTATCTATGGCTACCATAGTTTATGTTGTTTTGGACTTTCTTGGACTACTCTGATCTTATTATTCTGCATTTGCCTAAAATTGTACACAATACATATAAGCACATATATGTACTTTAGTGAATACCACAGACTCACTAAACCCGCAGTACCAGGCATGAGGAATCTCCTTTTGGATGGAGGCGAGCAATTCTTTAGAACATATCCTTGGTAAGAATATTCTTCTCTCGGAGGTGATTGTTCGTCAGTTACCGAACTCGATCCTCATACAATCCTACAACATATTCTGATGCAGACAATTCTGGCTGTGCACAATGACATCAGATTCTGTGATCCATTTTCTTTGAGCACTTATTAGAATGTAAATAAAAGTAAACAGGGCTTGGTTTTCTTTCCCACGAAATCTATTCCTCGAATGTGCATAGGATTAGCATTTGTTTTTCACAGATGTGGAGGGTTTAGTGGGGGAAATAATAGTGTTACCCTGATTGCATTACTCAGGTCATTGATTTGGGCTCAGTTGGCACAATATATTCATGCCCGTTGTTTTAGAAGATGACGTCACTGACAGTGTCGCTGCCCATACAAAGTAGTGTGACTGGAGAAAATAATCCATGCATAATCAGTGGTCCTTTGTACACAAACTGAAGCTGCCTGTTGGCTGGTTATCTTGCAGCCTCCCTTACACTTTTAGTAAAAAGAAAACGGGAAAAGAAAAACCCTCACATTATCTCTAATGGCGGGGCTACGGGGGCTGACACGTTGGGTGCCATTTGCTTGTGTAGCATTCACAAGTTGAAGGGCTTGTGCCTGCACCTGTATGCCACTGTAACTATGGAGTGTGTATTCTGCCATTCAGATTCCATTTTTAAAAAAATCAAAAGGAACATTGCTATAGCGACCCAAGCTGTGATCCGGGCTAAGTGAAGACCTGGGTGTCCATGTGTGTGTGAGTGTAGAAGACATGGAGAGCTATTGCCAACAGCGTGTGTGGTTCCCAGGCATTTTTGCACAACAAGGAAGAAGAGGAATCCCTTTCTGTGGATAGTTTGTGTTTGTTAATGGTTGGTGTTCCCAAAAAAAAAAAAAATCACCAATTACTTTTAAGTTTCCCATAGGGTGAGACTCTCTTGGGCTGAGAAGGTTAGTGAGCATCTATCCTTGTATTCTTTCCTCCTGCCTGCAGAGGGCAGTCAAGAGTAGACAGTAAAGAAAAGCATTTTCTCTGTTTTATGAAAACTGCTCTCACAAAGAACTCATGAAAGTAGGACGTGTGTGCAAAAGGAGAGTAAAATGTGAACAAAGTGAAAAAATACGAGTAGAGAAAATTAAATTACACAAATAAATCCACAGTAGTTTTTGGTAGTTTTGACTGTAATTCTGATACCGCATGTAGCAATATTTTAAGTTTTTTGTTTGTTTGTTTTGTTTTTTTGAGACAGGGTTTCTCTGTGTAGCTTTGGAACCTTCCCTGGAACTCACTCTGTAGACTAGGCTGGTCTCGAACTCACAGAAATCTGCCTGCCTCTGCCTCGGGGTCTGAGGCCATGTTGGTGCCATGCAGATAGGGATGGCCTGTGTTGACATGGGGCAGGGGTGGGGGGGAACTATGTCGGGTCTGTGACTCTACCGCAGTCAGGGTCTCTGGTTCCTGCTGCCATTGGGGGCCACAGGATTACTGAGGTTCTCTCCTGTCACCGTATTGGTAGAGTCCAAGGACCATGCTGCTGCTGGTCATGTGTGGGTCTGTCTGTAGTCCTGCCGCAGCTGGGGTCTGGGTTGATGTCTGTTGCCCATGCTACCTCAGGAGCCCATGCAAGCCATGAGCTGAAGTACAAGGGCTTCACTGAGCTGGCCTCACTCCTCACTGGCCTGAGGAGCGCTGTCTGTCGTCCCCCCCCAAGATGAGGCCGTGCCATACTCTAAGTGGCTCTATGTCGTGTAAACAGTGGTTTTTCAGCTTATGCCTTGCCCTGAACGATTCTCTTTCATAAGCTGCTGTGGATTCCATTTTGAGGTTAGACGATGATCGCATACCCGAGTCGGGACATGAACTCGCACCACTCACATAACACAGATTGATAAACGACTCTGTTCCTGGGAGTTGAAAGGGAGCCACCATAAATTTATTAGCATGAACTGGGATTGTAGAGGTGCATGAGCGTATTTAAAATTATATCAGCAAAAGCAGGGCCAAGAACAAAAGAAACAAAAGAGCAAGGAGAGTTTGATACACTCTTCCTAGGACTTCATGAAGGTGGAAACCTACTCCTCCTATGGCACTGCCCCCCCCTCCCCCCATCTGTCATCTGATCTCCTAGTGTATGCATCAAGGGACGGCAGGCACAAATCACCCAACTGTCCCTGGGCCTGACAGGCCTACTCTAATCGCTCTCTGCCCCTGCTCCTGTTTGCTCTTCTGGACCTATTATCCACCTAACCTATTGTCCATCTATAGTACCATTTGTTTGTCTGTCCTTGTCCTGTCCTTTAAGTTCTGAAGCTGGCCTAAACACAGGCTCATTTCTGTCTCTGCAGCCCAGAACAGCATCAGTCCAGAGACCACCGGCTGGTGATCTCACGCCCTTTTGAGCCCACCTGAGACCTCCAGTGGGTGACCTCACGCCCTCTCCGGCCCTCTTCCTCCTCCACCCTACCCCTTTGCATTCCTCCTCCCCCTGCTCCTCCTCCTTCTTCTTTTTGGCTACCAACCAGCTCCCAAATCAAGACATGGAGGCTTCTTCTTATAAGTTTTTATCTTAGCTCTTATTTCTTGCTAGCTCTTATAACTTAAATTATCCTGTTTCTCTTTAGCTTCATTTTGGCTCAGGTTTTTTTTTTTTTTAACCTTTTTTCTGTATATCTTATTTTCATTGCTTCTTCTGTCTGGCAACTGCCTGGCTCTGGCCCATGGTGTGTCCCTCTCTTTCTCCCTCATTCTTTCCTTCTTTGAGCCTAGAGTTCTTACTTATTCACTCTGCCACCAGCCCTGCCTATCCCTCTCCTTCCTAGCTATTGTTCATTCGGCTTTTTATTAGACCAACCAGGTGCTTTGAAAGGCAAGGCAAAACAAATGCAACACATCTTTACAGCGTTAAACAAATGCAGCATAAACAAACGTAACACATCTTTGCCTAGTTAAAGTAATATTCCACAACAAGAACCTGCGTTTACCTAAAGGAAAAACTTAAAATATCTGGCCACAGCACCTGGTGAATTTATTGTTATCTAATACATCCCGACCCTGTGGCAAGACATAAATAAGTTCACCTGTGTTTCTGACGTAGCACACTCCCTTAACATGCTTGAGGAAGGGCACTGTCAAGATCCCCCACACACAAAATGCCGACTTCGGAGCTAGTTAAGAACTGCTTTCATAGCCGGGTGGTGGCAACACACACCTTTAATTCCAGCACTCGGAGGCAGAGGCAGGCCGATCTCTGTGAGTTCAAGGCCAGCCTGGTCTGCAAGAACTAGTTCCCAGAGAGTCATCAAAGCTACAGAGAAACCATGTCTCGGAAAAATAAAACAAAAAACAAAAAGAACTGCTTTCATGTGTTTATCCAAACACTAATAAGCATTCGTGTCCGACGCCCAGCCAGGGGTGGAGGGGGTCTGCTGTTCTCTCTTGTGAAGCTCAGAATGCAATGAAGAGAAAAGCAATGCGCCTTCATTAGAAAACTCACTTCTCTCCAACTATACTCTTGTCCTCCTGCCTCTCAGTGGGGGGAACGACAAGTCGTTAACGGGGAACCATTGCTTGGAAATGCTGGGGCTAAATTAGACTGGGATATTGTTCCCTAATTTGCGGGGTGAAGACAAGGTGCGCAGTACCCCAGATTTGTCACAGGATGACTTCTCAGAGTCCGGTCTCCTCTGGGCCAGATTGTTCCTCATCAGCGGAGAGCGTTTCTTCCAAACACTCCCTCCCATCTGGCTCTCAGAGCCCTCTTTTCGGTGGTATATTGATCACCTTTGGGGCCTACGAGCTTTGCTGGAGACCTGACCTCCACCGTTAGTCGTATTTCCTTTTATTTAAGGCCACAATAAAAGTGTCTAATATCTTGAATACTGTGTCGAGCCACATTCTGCCGGGCGTGAAGCTGATGAGAGAAGGGCCCATCAGCCTGCGAGTGAAACTCTCCCTTTTAAAAAGGCGCGTTTGCATTTTCGTAGCAACCCTTTAGTGCAAATTAACTTCTAAGTGGCAGAATGTGTAAATTGGTTTTCGTGAGGCGAGGAGGAGCAGAGCTGCTCCCTAATTTTCCGTGGTTAGGAGTCGCTACTCCCAGAGTGTTATGGTCTCACAATGCCACTTAGCTTCCCTCCTTGAAGTGATCACGCTGAAAGACTGTTATGTTAAAGTCTGTGAACGTCTTTCTAGCCGCTCCTTTAGCCAATCTGTACGCTCTACATGGTGACTTGCAACCATCTGTAACTCCAGTTCCTGGGGTTCTGACACCCTCTCCTGACGTCCACAGACCTATATGTATATGGTGTACATACATGCATGCAGATAAACATGCTTACACATAAAAAACAAATTTTAAAAAAGGCTAAGGATCACAGGTGCACTGCATCACTAGGGCGTCACTAACTTTAGAAGGAAATCACTAGGTGGTGATGACGCTGTATAGACACAGAAGTTTTTACAGTTGACATAGGAATGGAATACAATACAAACTGTAAATGGTTCCTAAAAAAATTAAACCTGGAATTACCCCTGGAGCCAGTAGTTCCTCTCTTTGGGTATGTACCTCCAGAAGTGAGAACAAAGGCTCAGACACTCGCACACCAATATTTGTAAGTAGCATTATTTACAATAGTCAAAAGATGAGAATAATAAACTACTTTGGAGCCTGTCCTGGAACTAACTGTGTAGACCAGGCTGGCCTCGAATTTACAGAGATCCGCCTGCCTCTGCCTCCGAAGTGCTGGGATTAAAGATGTGTACCACCATTGCCTAGTTTAGAATAGATTTTTAAAATGTGCATTTATACATAATGGAAAATAATCCAGACATGGAAGAAAAGGAAGTCCTGAAATACTATATAATGTAGACGGGCCTTGGGGACATGCTAAGTGAATCAAGCCAGATACAAGAGAACAAACTTGAGTTCGCTTAGGTAGACTCTCTCTCTCTCTCTCTCTCTCTCTCTCTCTCTCTCTCTCTCTCTCTCTCTCTTTGCAGTAGAACTCACAGAGACAGAAAGCTTTCCAGAGGTACTGGGCCTGGGGTGTTAGAAGGGAGATAGAGTACTTAATGAATATAGAGTTTCTCTTTGAAGAGACAAACTCTTTTTTTCTTTCCGAGATAAGGTTTCTCTGAACTACTCTGTAGATCAGGCTGACATCAAACTCACAGAGATCCACCTGCCTCTGCCTCCCAGGTGCTGGGACTAAAGGTGTGCATTATTACCGCCCAGTCGGTTGAGGGAAACATTTTCTTTTTTTTTTTTATTAATTAATTAATTTAATTATTAAAGATTTCTGTCTCTTCCCCACCGCCGCCTCCCCTTTCCCTCCCCCCCCCCCAATCAAGTCCCCCTCCCTCGTCAGCCCAAAAAGCAATCAGGGTTCTCTGCCCTGTGGAAAGTCCAAGGACCACCCACCTCCATCCAGGTCTAGTAAGGTGAGCATCCACGAAACTGCCTAGGCTCCCACGAAACCAATAGGTCCAGTAGAATAAAAAACCCGTTGCCATTGTTCTTGAGTTCTCAGTAGTCCTTGTCCGCTATGTTCAGTGAGACCGGTTTTGACCCAGGCTTTTTCAGATCCAGGCCAGCTGGCCTTGGTGAGTGAGGGAAACATTTTCAACAATAGACAGTGGTAGTGGTTTCACAACCTTATAAATATAATGCCAACAAAGCACAAAGTAAATGGTGGAAATGCCAGACTTTATGCTTCATATCTTTTTACTATAAGCAAAAAAGAATTCAAAACAAAACAAAAAATGAAAACCACAGTTCCATCATGACCAGTTGCTTATTTCCTTGGGGATGCTTTACTTTTTTTTTTTAATTAAAATTCTATGTTACATTTTACTGTGTGTGCATTTTACTCAGGCGCGTATGAGTGTAGGTCAGAAGACAACTTGCAGGGGTTGGTTCTGTTCTTCTACCATGTGGGTCCCAGGAATCAAACTCAGGTTTTCAGACTGGCGACAAATGCCTTCACCCACTGGGTCACTTTGTCAGCCTATTGACACGGTTTGAATGTTTACAGATCTAATTAGAACAGACTAGAAGACATTTAACTACAGGATATATAGAATACCAAAATCAGCTGATATAACTCTAGTGGTATAGTTGACAGAGTCCATGTTTATTTAAGGATCCAGAATTAATTTTAAAAATATAAATTTTATTATTTCTGTGTATGGGTGTGAGTCTGGCATGTGGGTGCCCGCGGAGGCCAGGAGAGGATGCTAGATCCCCAGGAGCTGGGGGTTACAGGCAGAAGTGAGTGTTGGGAACTGAAAGCCAATCGAAGAGCAACAAGGATTCTTAACCAATGCCATCTCTTCGGCCCAAAGGATCCAGAATTTAAATTTCAGTTTCTGAGTTTAGGTTTTGTGCCCTTTCTGTAGAAGAATCATCACTGAATGTTGACTTGAACAGAGCAAGAGTAGACTTCTTGAAAACCTTGAAATTCTCCCCCGTGAATAAATAGAGAATCGGAGAAAAGACAGTATTGAAAGTAGCGGTTGCCACCGTAAGGACCAGAATCACCTGTAGAAGTAGAGACTGGTTCATGGCGAGGACCAAGGCACTGTAGACATGGTAAGGCATCCAGCACACAAAGAAAGAGATGACGGCAGTCATCATGACTTTGAAGGGCTTGCTGGATTTAAATAGTCCCTTCTCTCTCATCTTGGTAGCCACTCTTTTGTAGCAAAAGACGATGACGAGGAAGGGCAGAAGGAAGCCCAGCAGGAAGCGGCCGAGGAAACAGGCTGCGTGAATCCATCCCCTTAGTGTTTGCTTGTCTTTGTTCTCCCAGCTAGTGGACACAAGGTAGTTGTTTTGGCATACCATTCTCCCTTTCTGGTCATCATGCGTCTCCCTGAAAACCAAATAGGGTACGCTGAGGATAGTGGCAGAAATCCAGACTCCCAGGACTACTCTGAAAGCCCAGCGCAGGCTTCGGTGTTGCTGGGACCACACTGGGTGAAGGGTGAGGAGATACCGATCAACACTGATGGCAGAGAGGAAGAAAACAGAGGCAAACATGCTCACAGACAAAGTGCTGTTGAATACTTTGCACAAGACAATTCCAAAGGGCCAGTGATTGTTCTGAAGGTAGGAGACGCCCAGAAATGGCAGAACCAACGTTGAAATAAAATAGGAGAGAATGAGATGAAAAAATAACAGAGTATTGACAGTCCTTTGCATCTTGAATTTCAGCATCCACAGATAGAGGCCGTTGCTGATGGTACCCACTATAAATGACATGAACAAAGAAACAGCAACGATTATTTTGGGGACAGGAGTTGGAACACCGGTGCTGTTGCTTACTAAAGTAGAGACATTGATCACATAACCAGAAGAGTTGATCCGATCCATAATTACCTATGGAGGGAGGAACAGAGGAAAGAATATCAACAAGGATTAAATGAAGAAATTAAAGTAGGAATTTTGGTCTAACAGTAGTCCAAAGGGTCATATTTGAATAGTGGCAAGCATAGTATTCCTATAATAATACTTATAAATTATTTTACAATGCCTATTCTATTTTTATTAACAGGAATAAAATCAGATCACTCTTATTTTAAAAATAGAAATGCTTCAGATGACATGCATTAAATAAACACTAATAGTACTCCTCCCAGAAACAATTGCATTTTCCTAAGCATAAGATGCTACAATTAGATTTATCTCATAACCTAGTTATCTAGTATTTAATGGTTAGTGTATAACAGTAAGGACTGACCTTCATAGAGGAGTCTGGAGTCACCACATGATTATCAAGTGCTTCTGAATTATGGATAAAAGGACATGTGCTTTAGGAGACAGGAAGTAATTTCTCTTTTGGGAAAGTGAGGAAAGAGAAAGAAGAAAAGGAATTCACATTTATCCAAAATTTGTGAAAGCCAGAATATTTCTATTAAAATAATTTCTTTGACTTTCCAGAAAGTCTATGAGGCAAATCTTTTGTTGTTTTTTTTCTGTTCTGTTGAGACAGGGTCTTATAGAGCCCAGTCTGGCCTTGAACCATGTATCCAAGGCTAACCTCGAATATCTGATCCTCCTGATACCACATCCAGGGTGCTGGGATTACAGACGTGGCTTCCCCTTACAACACTGAGCAAACTTTCAAGCAAGGAGAAAGTGGGTCTTAAATAGTTAAATGTCCTCTGACCATCCACATCTTCCACCATGCCTCCACGGGGGCGTGTGGGGAGCCCTACCACTCTCTGATGCTCTCTAGGAAAACTGATAATTCATGGGAAGTGTCTTTGATAATGTGTCTTGTATCCCTGTATTTAAATATCAAAGTATTTAAGAATATTTAGTTTCTTGAGTAATGATTCCTGTAGTGTCAAGAATGCAAATCTGAGAATGATTTAAAAGACAGCTGTTATTACAAAGGTCCTGGGGCCTTGAGAAGAGGTGGAGGGAGGGAGGGAGGGAGGAGGGAAAGTGACCTTAGATACAGGAAAAAGCCAGGAGGCTTGCAGAAGTCCTGGATAGAAGGGAGGATGCCGGCAGAGATTAGCTCAGGATGTCAGTGCAGGTGTTTTCTAATGCTCAGCTTTAGCCCAATTGTGTGTTTTGTATGTAAAGTGCGCCTTCGCCTTGTTAATCTACAATTACCTGTGTTGGTGACTGTATTGGGGAGCAAAGAAAAAGAGCTCAGGTTCCCAGTTTGGAATGAGGAGATATGGAGAGAAAAGAAGAGCTGCTAAGACTGAGGGGTGCATGGTGGAAAGGGCAGAGGTACTGGAGGTCCCTGGAGACTCCCCAGTACCTCACCTGTGTGTGTGTGTGTGTGTGTGTGTGTGTGTGTGTGAGATGTACATGGTACAAAGTGCAGAGATGCTGGGGGTCCCTGGAGACTCCCCAATACCTCACCTGTGTGCGTGTGTGTATGCGTGCATATGTGTGTGTGTGTGTGTGTGTGTGTGTGTGTGTGTGTGTGTCATGTACATGGTGGAAAGTACAGAGATGCTAGGGGTCCCTGGAGACTTCCCAATACCTCACCTGTGTGTGTCTCTGTGTGTGTGTCTCTGTGTGTATGCGTGTGTGTGTGTGATGTACATGGTAGAAAGTGCAGAGATGCTGGGGGTCCCTAGAGACTTCCCAATATCTCACCTGTGTGTGTGTCTCTGTGTGTGTATGTAGGTATCTATATGGTCTGTATGTTACTATGGGGTGTATTTTATCCATGGCTTATACATATGAAGTTCTGTGTGTGCATATGTGAGTATCTGTGAGCTGTGCATGTCATCTGTAGTGTATTAGTGAGGTGTGTGTATACACTATGTGTTACTTGACTGTGTGTCTGTCCTTATTGTGTGTTCATCTGTGCAAATAGGGTATGTGTGGCATCAGTGTGCCTGTGTTATGCATGTATGATAATCTCTTAGTGCATATGCAGATGGGAAGTTGAATTTTTCATGACTTATTTGTTGGATTGTGAGGCTGAACTCTAGAAAAGCATCTCAAGTTGCTATAGGCTTGAACAGAATGAAAGCAAAACTTCTTCCATCAGAATTGGTGATTCTGCATTTTATATAAGATTCTTAGTTGTTTTGAAGTACTGCATATACTAAGACAATTCTTCATTATTTTCAGTATTAAGAGTGTGTTGCTATTGTGTGTATAGGATGAATGTGTGTGGATGCAGGTCTACACATGCCACTTTGCGATGTGGAGCTCAGAGAGAAGTCTGCCATTTTCGAATATCTTTTAGGATGGCGTGAGGCACTTGAGTAGAGCTCAATGGGGCTCAGTGGGGCCGCAGAACTTGGGCTCTGATGAATCACAGCTCTGAGTTTCGAGGCTTCTCTACCTATCTATCCTCTTGACTCTTTCGGCCTTTTCCTCCTTATCCCCTAAGAGATATTATGATGACTGTAAGGGACAATGGACTTACATTGTTTAGCTCCCTATGTGACGGATGGCAAATATTAATTTTTTAAAGGTCATTTTGTTGCTATAGCGAAGCCACTAAGAAGCTCATTTAGCACCTGTAAAGTTGAAGACTCTATATCCTTTGCAATGTGCCTGTCCTGAACCCCGGGAACCTCTGCGATTTCTATAGAACCAAAGTCTATCTCCTGAGGTTGAGCTCTCAGATTTTCTTATATCTCGAAGATTTGGTGTCTGGGAGGTCCTCCACTTGGGGACACTGAGCCGCTTTTGCAGGGGAAGGCCTCAGGAACTTTAGACTCTGATCTTTAGGAAGCCTGGAGACTATTTATTCAGACAGCAATGCTAGGAGAAACCTGCTGGGCCCAGGGACCTTACCTCAGAGCCGTGTCTTCCTGCCAGGCAGTCTGAGATACCACAGTGGCCAACAGCAGCAGTCTTCTCTCCAGGGCAAGGGCAGCAATCAGCGACTGTCTCCCCTCTGCTGGCCGATGCTACTTCTTAATCTTACCATTGATTAGCTCAGTGAGGCTTTCATCTCCTCTGGTTCTCCTTTCTGTAGAAGGTCCAGCTGTGGAGGTGGAGTCAAAGAGAGGATTACTTCTCCAAATCATTTCTCCATTTCAAAATGAGAGTCAAGAAAATCCTGTGAGCAATCATGTCGGTTAAGGGTGACATGACAATTTCAGGTGTTAAAACACGGGTTTAAATTGTATCCTTCGGTCTGTCCATCCCGTGAGACTCTCTGGCTTGATTCCGGGAGTTTCATTGGCATGTGGACCATCAATGTTAGGTACATAGCGAGTTGGTGAGTAAGAGACACAGGTGATATAGAAACTGGAAATGATCTGATCTTGCTGGAGAGAAAATTGTTACAGAGCAAAACTTAAGTTCTGATTTTTCACATTAAAACAGGATGAATAGGAAAGGCCAAAGTTTGGAAAGAGCAAGCGTGGTGGGCAGAGTGGTGGCATCTGGACAGTTGTTGGGAGTGGCAGGGCTACAGAGCTGGTCCCTTACCCGCTACAGAGAAGGTGTCTGCACGCCATTGCTGGCCCACTTCTCTCTCCCGTCCATCTCTGTCTCTTTTCAGATTTGCCTTTGTGCTGGCCTCAGTGGCCTCATTTCTTCCCTCTCCCTCTCTTCATTGCCAGTGTAGAAAATGCATCAAACGCGCAGCGTGGCTTCAGTAGTGAAGAGCTTGGGAATAAGACCCATTGTCTACTCTGCTAGACTCGGGATTTTAAGGCTTGCACTGCTAGACTATAGACCTGTTTGAAATAGGCTTAGATTTTTAGTTCTTAATTCATTTCTGGCTGCGACCTTCAACCTGAGTACAGATCTCCTGGGTAGGTTAAGGGCAAGTTTCAAACTAACTACTACATTTTAGAAAGTCTTTCTTCTGGGTTTTTATTTGGGTTCATGCACAGTTCAAGTAATGAGGAATTATTTGGTCCAAGCCTGCTCGTCCTGAAGATTCATAGACAGTCTCAGAGAGGTTTAGCAGATCACAATAGGTTCTTCATCAAACTCCCATTCCACAGGCGAAGGAGTCGAGACCCTTAAAACCATCTGAGAACTCACCCTAGATTCTATTAACAGTTAATGAAGAAGTTGAGGCAAACATGATGCGTGCTGGGAATTCTGATGCCCTGCTCGTGGGAATGATACTGGCTGCAAGATACAGCACGGAGGGGACTGCTCAACTCTACCCAGAAATCCCCACTCTGCCTGGACCTCCATTATCAATCTACCCACATCGCTCTATGCATTACCGGAGTCTCAGTTTCTTCACTTGTTAACACAAAAATAAACAACAGTAATGCATATTTGAATTGTCCTTGTGGGGATTTAATGAGACCGTCTCTGAAAGGCCCAGCACAATGGCAGGCACAGGGCAAGGATGAAATGATCGATGGCTGATGACATCGTGGAAGTTGTGGCAGAAAGAACACCCGCGAGCCCAGTGTGCTGGAGCCAATGTATCCGAATGCGTTCTGATCAGAGCTGTTTATATAGGGCACTAGAGCCTGCCAGACAGCGTGCAAACAGAGGCGAACAAAATAAATAGTTCAAAGCAATTGCCCTTGATGTTTGCAGTTATTAAAGATGATATCTGAACTGACTAGTTGAGGGGTGCTGGATAGGGATGTTCTAGGCCTTGGGAACAATATACTTACAGGCTCTTCAGCCCCCCTCCCCCCGCATTGGCTTCATTTCTTAATTTTTTTTTTTTAAATCATTTTCTATGTGTGCGGGTGTTCTGCCTGCTTGTATGCTGTGCGCCACATGTGTGCCTGGTGCTCTCAGAGGCCAGAAGACGGTGTGAGGTCCCCTGGAGCCGGTGTTACAGATGGTCGTGAGCCACCACGTGGGTGCCGGCAACTGAGTCCGTGTCCTCTGCAGAACAGCCAGGGCTCTTAGCCCTGGAGGCCCTGCCTTCATGTCTGTGTAGCTCACGGTGCGGTTGT